CTCTCTCTCTCTCTCTCTCTCTCTCTCTCTCTCTCTCTCTCTCTCTCTCTCTCTCTCTCTCTCTCTCTCTCTCTCTCTCTCTCCACTGTCTTTGCAATGTAGTTTCTCTCTTCTTCTCTGACTTGGCCTCCTTAACTCTCCCTTCTCTCTCTCTCTCTCTCTCTCTTGCAGTCTGTCATCCTATGGAATTATGATACTTGGTGTGTGTGTTTCACATGTTCTTGTGCTCGCTTGGGTACACATCTGCTGATGACTTTGTGTGTAGCTAGCTGCCTGCCAGCGTCTCCAAAGAGAATGGGGTAAGGGGCAAAGGAAACTGGCCCATTTATGTATTAACATTTAGTACGGCCCAGGGTATACCATCTTACCCCAAATAGAACTTGTGTCAACGACTGTATCTAGAATGAAAGTTCCATCAAATACAGCTAATTACGACCATATGAAATGAGCCAAGTACTCGTCACGCTCAACCTCGCAGACATCAATGAAAATCACATGGGAGCTCACACGTGAGAAGCCAAATCGATATACAATCAACACTTGAAGATGTCGTCTCCAATATTATTATTAGCAACATACAAGAACGTTTGATCTCCAGTGGCTCTGCCACACACACACACACACACACACACACACACCGATCCCAATCAGGTGGCGGCTATGGGTTCTCCCCCTTCTCTCCCACTCTCTCTCTTGTCTTGCTTCTCTCTCTGACTTGGCTCACTCTGCCTCACGCTCTATCTCTCTCTCTCTCACTAACCCAGATTGTCACCCTGGATACACCCACTCAGGTAGCTTACACCTTGGAGGCTATGGCCGCCGTCCTCCTGCTCTACCGCTAGCCTAGCTATGGAGTATCTCCCAAGCACCCTCTTCTTCTTCAGGGGCACAGTGACCACATTGCCTTAACGCACAAGCAGCAGCAGCGCTTCCACATCTCACAACTGAACAAGTGATGAGCCGCTGCACTGTAGCAGCTAAATATAGGACTTGGCTTGGCTTGGCTTGGCCTGCTTCAGACCGGTACCGGTTGGCCGCGGCCTGTCTGCTGCAACCATTTTGTCGGTCCAGTAGCTTCTGGACTTTCCTGGGACATGCTGCAAAATTGGACTTGGGACTGTCGGACTGGACTGGACGCTTCTGGACTTTTCTTGTCGGATACCGGACGGACTCCTGCCGACCTACGACACTTCGGTACCGACACCTACCGGCCTACGACACTTCGGCCTCTAGACCCTATAGCCTACCCTATGGGACAGCCCTGGGACTTGGGACCTGTTGGGACCCTGGGACCGGCATTGGGTGTCTGCAGTGTGAATCCTTTCACATATGCTCCATTTG